TATAATTGTAGAATAACTATAAATACAAGAACACACGGAGATAGAGATGACTTGAATGACACAAACATGGATACAATAAATGCAAACTGTCAAGAAGATTTAGAAAGTTTATCTAGCAATTCATTTGAAAACATGGAAAGAAAAAATGTCCATAACAGGTAATTATTAGCTTTGCATTTATTACATATATAATATAACATGTGCAAAGTAAACTTTTGAATCAGTCATAGCCTTTTCAGTATAATTACAATCTATGTTATATTTTGTAAAACATTTACTTATTAAGTCCTTAAACAGTTAAAATGAGAATAAGTCAATTACAATTAAAGTGATCACGGTGGGGATCTTGATACTTAATAATACCTATTGTTGCGTGAATCGTACAAATTCCAATTTAAGAAAAAAGTCTTTGACCCAAATATTCGTTGATCTTGAAACACAGTTCTAAACTGAATCTAAATTACGTAATCTCTTCAATTAATTTGACAAGCAATTTAATTATATTGATGCAAATGAATATTTTTTTAAATTCTCTGAAATAGTTTACTGCGAAAAATATTACCTTAGCAATGATCTGAATCCGAATCTCCCTGCTATTCAGGCAGGGGTTTGAAAATATTTTATTGCATTTTCTTTTAATTTTGTATCAAATAACCATTGTATTTGCTATTTAATTATTTTTATAGTTTGTATAAATTATTTTATTTATAACAGTTATATAATATACACTCTTAAATGTCGTTATTACTTTTAAAATACCATAATTAAAAAATGTACAATAATTAGTAATAACACAAGTCATATATTAAAATAAAAATTATGTTCTTGCATTTGTCAGATAACTGATGTATAATAAATGGAAAAAAAACTTAGAATTACACAAACGTTTAAAAAATCGATTAAATAAAACTGTTATTTTTTTAATATGTACAAAATAAGTTAATTGTATAAATAATAAGTAAATGATAAGAAATAGTGTATATTAAACATAAATAATTATGTACGTATTGTTTGTCATAAGTAGGAAATCAAAAGCAACAATTGAACAGAAAACGGAAGATGATAAGCAGATCCCAATTCGTCTCTGGATAGGCAGACATTTCACAAAATTAACAGGAGAAGAATCAAAATGCAATTATTGTATTTTAAAATTTTTTATTTATGATAATGACAATGATTATGAAAAATTTCAATGCCACTTAGTAAAGGAACATCCAGACAAATTGGCAGATGACAAGAAGGAAAAAGATAAATTCAGTTGGATATGGGATTATTATACATTAGAAAATAATATACACGCAATGTGCAACTTTTGTGGCAATAACATAAAATTATATAATAAATCAGAATATACTTTGGAAACGCATTTAAAGGTATATCATGGGTAAGTGTATTCAAATCGTATTCAACATTTATTAAAATAGGAGCAATTAATAACACAGTTTAACAAGAAAAAAAAACAAAATGAGACTTGTCATTTCCTGTTTTTTGGACGATAATCTAAATTCGGTTATAAAATATTGCTCTACCACGTCACAATTTAGAGAAATTTGAAGATAAAGATATTGCAACAAGAGCTATCTTTACGTACTTTTTCATACTATAATTTCAAAATGCGACGTGCTAGAGAAGTATACTTGCAATCAAAATTAAATATGTTGTTAGGACTTTCAACTCTCAAAAGGAATTTTTTGTGTTCGTTATGATTAATAAGTTATTTATTGTTAAATATTGAGTTCATCGCGGAAAAAGAATTAATTCATTTACAATTTACTAAAAATTTTTTCGTCGTTTTTCTAACTTCTTTTTCATTCACATGTATATGTAGGATAACTGGTGCGGACAGTAATACGGATGATGCGAGCAATGATGCAAATAAGGATACGGATTTGTGCAAAAATACAGAAAATACAGGCAGCCAGATAGCCAAGCGTTTCGGTGCAAAAACGTACAATGCAATACTTGCTTACGATGATGGCAACTTGCCGTATGTTCGTCTTCAACGACTTTGAATATACAGACATTGAAGCAATATATAGTTAACATTGTACGTAGATATGTATTGCATAATCCTCGAATTGACCAAATCTTATTCTCTCTGCGAGCAATCGCTTTTATGTAATTTATCGACGAGTGTTTTATGTATTCATCCACTGAGAATGGTTCAATGCGTAACCCAAGCGTTTGGGTTTGTCAAATAATTAATTCTAAATCCATTAAAAATAACTTTTTTCGTTTAATACTATTATAAGATAATTATACCATTAAATGTTAATTATTTATTTTCAAAATTTTTAATATAATTATACTTGTAAGTATATACATATGAATGTAGGTTCTCATTTAGTACAATATCAATAGACTATGTTGTGGTTTGCTCTTCTTACAAAAATGTGGTAAAACGTCAACTAGCTTTAAAGAAGACTTTTTTAATGGATTTTGCAAATTAAACTTTGACTTATTTTATTATTATTTAACATAAATTATTATTTTGTGCAACAGTAATTTTTGTTAAATTGTACAAAATTATTTTATATTAACCACTACATTGACAATTTGTACTATAGTTGCACAGTGTATAACGTATTTCAAAATCGACGGATTATGTTATGACTTTCACTTCCTATAGATGTGACACAATATTAACAATTACTTAGCATCCGTGATTTCTTCTGTTCAAAATCTTGCGATATGATCTTTGATTTTCTTACACAAGAATAATTTATATTATGTTATATTTTATATCTTACTATTGCATTGACAATTCATATATTAGCTAAATATTACGCGAGTTTAAACGTTTAGTTCTATAAGTCTATTTTGTGACTCGTGTAACATTACATTAGATTACAATTTCTTCAGACGTAAATTTGCAAGCATTTTGTGTAAATATATTTATTAAATTAGATGGTATGTTAGTTTTTATTCGGTAATTGTAACTCAAAGGACATAAAAGTTAGAATGTTGAAGGAAATACATCAAGTATACTTTATTTAATTTAATTATTTTTACCTCTAATTAATACATAATTTATACTTATATCTTAATTATCACGTATTAGAGATAAGAATACATTCGACGCGTTCTTTTCCACTTTTTACATTTATCAAGGTTTTATATATTATCTGTTATGTAAATACTGTAAATACTGCAATGGAAATAGAATCAAATATATTAATGGTTTATTTTGCACAATAATATCTTTTTATTCCGAGATAGTAAATTTTGCATAAGTTATATATTTGTCTTTGTATCAATAACATAAAATAGGAACACAACAGACATACATATACATACCATTTATATGTGTGTATATATATATATATATATATATATATATATATGTGTGTGTATATTCTTATCAAAATAAATAGCTCAATAAAAATTAACATTTTTGAATTCATACATAAAATTTGCTTTGAAATTTTGATAATATTTTAAATTCTTTACAAAGAATTTATAAAGCTAATTGAAACTTTTTAATCATAATTTTTTTCATTAAAACGATGTTAAGAAATACAATGGTTCCTTTTCTGAATATCATTTTC